CTGTTCAGGAGCACCTGTACCTGCCAGGGCCTTGGCGTGGGGGCTCCCCAAGTCTGTAGCGGGGTACCCACCAGCCTTCCTTATGCATCTAAAGCCAAGTACACACTTGGCCTTGCCTCCTGGGGCGGAGTAGGTCCTTGAGGTCACCCTGTTCTGTGCTTACAGACTAAGGAGTCTGTCCAGGGCCTGAGTCCTGCCTGAGTGTTGGTTGTGTGTCTGTCCCTACTCCTTGGAGAGGCAGTGGAGATGTGTCTCTGCTTCCAGGGTCTCCTGTCCAGTTCCATCTGTGAGCCTGGGACTTGGCCACTGTGAGTCACACTGGGAGGGAGGAAAATGGATCAAGTTCACACTCCAGTTTGGTCTTCAGTCTGCTCTGCCTTCTCCAGAAATTCAACCTGTTTGCTCTCTGGGAAAGTAAGAGGCTTAAGAAAGACTTGAAGGCATTGTGCACGCCACAGCCCAGAGATATGGGGGTTAAGACCCTTGGTTAAGGTGTCAGGGGTCCAGAACAGGACAGCAGGGCTGGCACTGCCCTTACCCTATCGTCCCTGGGGAGCCAGGCTGGGGAGGAAGTGTGCAGGAAGCCTCCTTGGCCTTCCTGGCCACTGTGTCTCCACACTGTCCCCTCCCAGCCAGCTCTTTCCCCCAAGTCCCTGGGGTGGCAGCCTGAAATACATGTTTGCTCCTTTAGTCCACTGCCCAAGTCCTGCTTAGGACTGTCACCCCATGCTGGAGCCGCCTAGGAACCCTGGCCAGCTCCTCTGCTCCATAGGTCATCTCCTCCACTTCCTCCTGCAGTGTGCCTGCCATTGTCCCTCCCATGCCCCTGCCATGAGGCCAGCACACAGCAGACAAGAGGGGGAGGGGTGAAAGACAGGGGTGTGAGAAAGTCTGCCTTAATCTTCATTTCAGTGACGCTGCCACACGGCTGAGCCCTTTGTGGGTCTCCAGACCTTGCCGTGGTTTACACGTGATCTAGCTCCCCAATTCACATGGAGGCTGCACCCTCAGAGTTGTAGGCTAACGTCACTGGGAGGGTAGAGATGCAATCTGCTGACTGTGTGGAGGAGCTGGGCCTCGTGGGAGGCCCTTAGTCAATGGGGTCACGACCTTGCAAGCTTTTCCGACAGGGCTGGTTCTCTGGGCGGGTGTGGTCCAGCCGTTCTCTGCTTCCTGGCTTTGCTGTGGGTTTGTTCCAGATGGCAGAAGCAGTGGACCTCTACAGGCTACCACAGGCCTCTAGGCGCTGAATAAGCCTCCTACTGCTTTCTCTCAGGCGTTTAGCTGCAGCAACGAAAAACTGACCAAGGTCAGATTCTCCTTCACTGCAGGGCTTCTGGTTAAAGGGCACCCCCAAGTATCCTGGCCCCTAGGGCCACCTTCTGTGAGGTCCACTGCCACAGGTTTGGGCCTCCTTGCCAGGGTCCTTGCCTGGCCCTGGGAAGGCATGGGCAGCGTCACGACCCACTTGGCACCCCACAGCCCAGTGGGTCTGCAAGCTGGCCAGCCTGAACCCCGGACCCTTCAGGCCAGTGTTGAATATGTGTCTCTGCATCAGAGTGTAGGCCTCCATTCCTTCCAGTTCAACATGAGGAGTGAATCCTCTCTCCCCTCACCGAGAGGAGGCAGAGACTAGACGCAGTGTGCACTGACAGCAGCCAGCTCAGAGCATACTTCCCAGGTCCCAGCGTGAAGGACCACTCCTGAGGACGCCCTGGTGGTCCTGAAAGCTGCCCTGCACCTCTCAGGGTGCCCGTCACCCTCAGTCCCTCAGCACAAACGCTAAGCGTACAGGAATAAGTGTTTTGCCTCCCTACTGGCTCGGCTGGACTCACCCAGGGACACTTGGCAACAAGGAGCAAACTAGCTTGTGGCCACAGACATGCTTCTCTGTTGGCATTGACCCTGTAATTATCCTAGCTTTTTTTCTTTCTTCTCTCCACTGGAAACATCTATTGCTAGGACTCCACACGCATGGCCTGCATTGCCAGCTCGTGTTTCTGACCCGAACATTTAGGGCTCAGGATGTGAGGGCTGGGGGTACTGTGTCCTCATTGCTGACCCCAGGCTGCAGGCTGACTCACTCCACCAATGGTTTTGTTTTTAGGAATTCTGTTTGGTTGAGCAACATTGCCAAAAGAAGGGATACTTAATGACATTGGTGTTCTACCCCTTGGCTCCTCCAGCTATAATTTCTGGGACCTTGGGAAAGCCACTTCATCTCATTGAGGCTGTTTTCCAATCTGTGAAAAGGGTGACGAGGGTTAAATGGCTGAGGGACCCAGCACAGGGCCTGGGAAGGATGCCACTGGCTCCTTCCAGTTTCCTCAGGGGTTCTCTCTGCTCCCTGCTGATCCCCAAACTTGGTCCTCACTTGTCCTTCCTGTCTCTACAGGAAGGATTCTTGTTCTTCCCCTTGGATGGGAACACTGCCACCCCACCCTCACCTGGACTTTGTCCATCTTCTCCACGTCCTCTATGTGACACAGCAGTCAGAACTGTGAGCTCAGGTCCCAGGACCATGCCCTCATTTCAAGACAATGTCTAGACCACGAGAGAGCCATGGGGCACCTGCATCCTTTTGTTGCATTTTGGGGGATTACTCAGATCTGACCATTTCGTGGTTTATCCTGAGCTTTTACAGTGCTGTTATTACAAAAGTGATTCATTTTCCTTGTTGAAAGGAAGAAAAAATCCTACTCAGGTGCTAAAAGGGAGAGAGGATAATGGGAAATAGGGTGAAAAACATAAGATGGTGGCTGGAGGATAATTTGTGACAGCACTCCAGGCTCTAGAGTGGGTGGTCACCGGCTCCAAGCAATAATTCCTAGAGTGGGGCAGGTACCCACTTGTCACCAGAGGGTGTCCTCAGTGTCCATGACAACAACGGGAGCATGAAACCCTTTGTCCTGCAGTGAAGGTAGGCACCTCAGCAGGGCAGGAGAACAGAACCCAGAGGGGAAGAGAAGGGTGGGCAGGCTGGGTGAGGATGGCTAAATGGCAGCGTTTCCCAGGGAGCTAATGGGTGGCCCCTCTACAGAAGTCACGAATCAGAGCCTGGGATTCATGTGCTATGTGGGGCATCTACAGACACTGATCAGAAAATCCTCAGCCACAGGGAAAAAGCCTGGAGCCCCTGCAGCTGGGGGGAACCCAGGGGAAAGTGGTCCCAAGGACTTGGGCTCTGTGTTGAACAGTGTTTCCTGCTACTCAAACCTGTGGTTATGTGTTACAGGGAGGGACCCAAAGAGCAGGGAATGCACTGAGCAAAAAACAAAACCAAACAACAAACATCTTCCACCCCTCAGGGCTCCTCACAAGCAGCAGGTTTATCACCAAGGTCAGAGCCAGCCGACAGCAACAGGGGTGACACCAACACCACCTTTGGAGGGTTGGGGGGCATTAGGAGGTGTTTGACACAGGAAGGGCTGGACACAGGACACCCCAGCATGCTTCCTGTGAGAAGGAGAGGGGTTGGCTGCCCAGTGCCACCCCAGCATGCTTCCTGTGAGAAGGAGAGGGGTTGGCTGTCCAGTACCCACCCTGTACCCCAATCTCAGGGCACCAGGCTGGGAGAAAGAGAAGTGATGGTAGAGAATAGCAGGGCTGATGCCTGGCACAGAGATGCCCTTCTGTTGCCATCCTGCCTGTCTGTAAGTGCAGAGACAGGGATGGACACCGGACGCTGTCCACCCCTACTCCCTCTAACCGCCTAAACACCTCAGGGATTGAGCCTTTGACTTTAGGAGTCAGACAGGCCTAACCAGCTGTGGGGTCATTGGATGGGGACCTTAGGGAACCCAGAGTGTGGTGTCACTGTTATTGCTGCTTCCCTCCATCCTTCCCCCAGTTTGGGAGAGGCCCCAGACAGGACCAAATGTTCCAGGACACCCTGTCCCCCCCACCAGTGTCTGCCCCGTGGTCAGGATGACAGAAGCAATATTGGACAAGATACCAGGGACATGGTTGGACTTGAGAGGGTGGAAATGATGAACAAAGTTCTTGTCCATTGATTGAGTCTTGGAATATTTGTCTCTGTTTCAAACAAGACAGACTTGGTGCTGATGTGCCGCAACATTCAGGAACAAAACAACACTTGAGTGGCATTGCAACTCAAGCCTCTACCTACAACATCAACATCCCAAGTGGATGCTAGTTTGAGGTATGGCTGCTCCACTTCTGATCCACCTTACTGCAAATGGCCTGGAAAAGCAGCGGAGGATGGTCCATATGTCTAGGTCCCTGTACCCACATGGGAAACCTGGAAGAATCTCCTGGCTTTGCCCTGGCTGTGGGTGCCATGGGTGTCTATGCTTACACTTCCTGGTGGTTGGCCAAGACCTTTTTCAGGTGCAACATCTTTGCCTTTAGCCTCAAAACACATGAAACCTTGCTGTCCCGTGAGCCACCATGGCCACTGCCACCTCTGCCTAGCTGAGCTTTCATTCTCATATGAGAATATTTCAGCTGCACGAGCAGGAGCAAGCTACTCCTTAATGTGCTCTTAAACACACAGAAAGCGACATGCCCAACACACCCCCAGTGCCCATGGGAGGAGTAACTGTGTAGCTCAGCCATCTTCTGCTTTCCATGTGCCTCCCAGAAGCCACACATTCAGCAGGTATTCAGCCTACATGTGGCAGCCTAAGGCCTTGCAGCTGGGCTTGAGCGGTGGCAGTGTAAGAATGAGCACAATCACAGGTCACCTCAAGGGGCTGGCTATGTCCTGAGCTCCTCCCCAAGCTGTCGACCCCATGATGGGGCCCCGGGTGTGTTGTGGGGTGGACAGCCCTGAGTTCCCACCTCTGTCTGGTGGGCAGGGGGTAGGGAGTGCAGCATATACATGTCCTCCGAACCTGGCAGGGTCTGGCCATCAACTGCAACCCTTCTACAGGTGCCTCTTCAGCCTTCCACAGCCCTGAGGGCTGCATGGTGTCTGTACCTGGCAGCCAGAGGTGATCTAGGCAGGGGATGGGTGTGGGAAGCAGTGCCACACTTACCCCCCGCCCGTGCCGCCGTTCTTGCTGAAGTGCGTGCGTGGCTCACTGGAGGCCAGCTTCAGCAGTTCTGTCCACTCGCGTTCCCACTCTTCCTCCGTGTACACCAGCCCGGACTGTGGCAAGGGAAGTCCCTTTAGGAGGTGGATACTGCTCTCCCCTTCTCCTTTATTCAGCCAGGGCAGCCCTTGCAGGACCCAGGCTGGACACATGAGTTAGCGGCCACCAATAGTCTCCCTGCCCTCTCCCCTCACTTTGCCCGACAATATATTTTCAGAACCCCAGGCTCAAAATTTAGGGTTTCCGGGAGGCACCCCCCAATTCCTCTAAAAGGGGCATTCTTTGTGGGGTGGGGACAGTGAGGATGAGACAAACTTAACCAGGAAGTGCACCTGGTTAGGCTGACCATTAAAAAGCACTGAAAAGTGGGCATGAGAAGTCGGGCAGTTGGGGTTCTCTCTAGACTGAGCTCACACATGGGGACTGCAGCCATGGGCTGTACTTGGTTGAGGCTGGGCCACTTGTGAGAGTGAAAGTTGGCAGCTTTCAGAAGATGGAGGTGGGCAGTCACTGCGGCAGACAGGTCCTGCCCAGGGACATACATAGGGGATGCCTCACTAACCCCAAAGGCTGTTTCCATCTGACTTCGACAGGACCAAGCTGTATTCCGCCAGTCCTGAGGCTGTACTGTGTAGGTCCCCGGCTCCAGCCAGGCCCATGAGTACCAACCTCTTTGTTCTGCTGCGTCTGCTGCCACCTCCACCTCCGCTTCAGGGCTTCCCTCTCAGCCCCTGTCCTCATCATGGTGTAGAGAGCTTTCCGCAAAACCAGGTCCCGGTCGTGAAAGCCCCACATCCCTGCAGCCGGGAGAGGGGTATATGAGCAAAGGGGTGGCTACAGGAGATTCTCACCACCACAGCCTGCTGGGCCAGGCTCCTATGAGCATGCACAGGGGCCCTTGTTCCCCAGCAGTGCAGTTCTCGTTCTGGGCTCTGAACTCTGGTGCTCTTATCAACCTGTAGGGGGAACACAGGGTAGCCTGTCTGCTTCTCAGCCAACCAGCCATAAGATAACCATGCCTGCCTGGCTCTGGGAGCCCTGGGAACCCATGCTTCACCTCCTAGGTTTGTTGAGGCATCTAACAACATTTGTCCTCCAGGTCTCGTGCTTATAGGACAAAACAACCTCTCGGGACATGTTGGCTGCATGTCCTCATAAGGACGTGACGTCAGTGTGGTCAATTGCATTCTGCCTCCTAGGTCGGCCAGACTCTATGCGCCCTAGCCCCAGAGAAGTAGCACATCAGTGGACTCTAGAAGTGGTCCTGGGCAAGAGTGATGTTGGTCAAGGTCAAAGAAACAAACAAAGGGAGAAGCAGTGAGAGGTTTCGCCCTGGCTACAGGGGAGAAGGTAAGAAAATCCAGTTATGTATTCATTCAAGGAGGTAAGACTGTGCATGGCCAAGGCCAGAACACAGGAAATTACTGAAAACTCACAGAGCACACACTTTGGGGAAGAAGTGAAACAGCTGTTATCTGAACAAAGGATGTATAATCAGGAGGAGGGGGACAGCTCCAGAAGGAGAGAGGGACAGACACAAGAGGACAGTGCAGGTGCGTTTGTGAGGGTGTGAATGCAGACACACTGGAGTGAAGGCTTACTGGGGGGCGGAGTGGTGCTGATAGCATCCCAGACTCAGGGAAAGGGCGGGCACAGGTGCAAGGAGCAGCCTATGAGGTGTGCTTGGGAAAAGGCGGGATGCAATCCTGGCTAGAGTCAGGACTGAGCGACAAGGCAGAGAGAAAAAGATGGGCCTTCAAGTGAGCAGGGTGGGGCTGCTGGAGAGTTTTCAGAATTGGGGGTCCTGAACTGCCAACTGCTTGTGCAGGCGGAGGCTGGCTCGTGGTCCATGGACATGCAGTAATCAAGGCAGTCATGGGTTTCTTAGCAGGTCAGGGTCTTTTCTGCAGGACAGATGGAGGGAAGGGACCAACTTCCCAATCCTCAGCCCTGTTGTAGCTGCCTTTTGGGACTCTCCAAGTAGCCTCAGTGTCACAACTCCTTGTTCAGGTATCCCTTGCAGGGAGGGACTCCTGCTCTCAGATGGGTCTCCCTACAAGCCTGACTCTACGATCCCTGTCATTTCTATTTGTTGTCCACAATCCTAGCTCAGCATCAGGCCTGCTCAGCAGACAAAGCACAATCAGTGTGGGTGGTCCTGGTTCTGTAGGAGCGCAAAATGAAAACCAAGGTCTGGGATGCAAGAACCAAATAGGCTCCTGGCTGGGTTGGGGAGAGGCAGAAGGAAGCCTTGCAGCCTGGGTTAGCCAGGGCCTCCTTGCAAGTGGACAGGTCTTCATGAGGCTTTCTCTTCCCAGGTGAGCCTGGTCCATTGTGCTCAGGGGAAAATCCCATCCATTGACAACATGGAAGCCGATGGAGACAGTGTCTGCACACATGGCAGCTTCCAATGGACAGGGATTTCCACACTTGGGACTTTACAATGAGGCTGCTGTTTGACACAGATGGGCGATGTCTGCTTCTCTAGCCTCTCTCTGGGCTTTAACAGAACAAGCTGAGATACGTCCAGTGATACAGTAATAACCAGTGACAGCTTTTAGGATGAAATGATCTTATTCCTGAAATCAACATCAGGCACGCATCTTCCTATAATTTTAGGTATATGCTGGGTCCCAAACTGGGGATATAGAAAGATCACACTTTCATTGCAAGAACAGACAAAATCCTGGCAGACAATGTGCCAAGATGTGAAAAGCAGCCAGCACTGGCTGTGGGATTATCAACGTGTACTTTCTCATCATGGAGATTGTGCAATATTGTCATGCTGGCCAGCAGGGCAGGCTCACCTTGATGTGGACAGGAAGCAGGTAGATGTGTACCTGTCTCTTTTCCATCACTGCCCTTGTTCTACACCTCTGTTCTCGGGATCTCCCTGGGTCCCTTCCTCCAGCCCTTTTCTCTCATTGCAGTCTGCAGCTTGCCGAACAGCCCCTCAGGGCAGGTCTATAACAAGGCCTGAACCTGGCTTCTGCTCTGGGTCACAGCACTGAGTTAAGGCTAGGCTCACCTAGGGAGGGAGTTTGACCAATGAGAACCATCTGCCCGAGGCAGATGAGGAGTAATGGGCCCTGAGCATGGGGCTCCTGATGCTGATCTAGACTTGGCTAGAAGGAATAACTGAGCTCCCGGGAAGTCAGCTATGGCCTTCAGTGATCCCAGTATGGCCAGCCACACCTGCGCACCTGCTGGCTTGGGCTTTTGTGATCAGGAAGCTCATTCTACCACTGGAGATGGTTGCTGTGCATTCTAACTGTGCCGACCCTCTCGTGAGGTACACAGTGGTTCCTATATCTCTCCTTTCATCAGTCCAAGTCCACTGTAGACTGCTGTGTCTAGGGTAGCTCCACAGCCATCCGACTTGACTTTTTGTTCTCTAGGATTCCTGTTATAGCTTCACTTGGCTCAGCCCAGCCTACTCTCTGCATTTATGCCTTATCCATTTGGTCTGCCTGCCTGCCTGGAATGTCTTCTCCACTCCCTCAAGGTCTTCAAGGTTCAGTAAAGAGATCACCTCCTCCAGGAGGTACTCAGACTGTTCAAGGCCATGATCTCTAACTCGTGTCCCTACAGCTTATGCTTAAGGTCCCTTTCCCGTATGACTGATATTTCCTCATGTGTGCTCTGTCTCTCCACCAAGAAAAGAAGGGCTAGCACTGCTTGTGCATCTCTTGGGCACTCTTCTGATGACAGACAAGCGTAGCATGGGTCTGTGCTTCAAGAACACACTGCCCAGGCTTGGCGCCCTGCCACCCTCTGTCTTACCCAGTGAGGCGGCATGGAGGAGGCAGTTCCCATCCCCCGTCGTGGCCAAAGGAAGCAGCCGCTTACAGCTCGTGCACACAGTGGACCACCAGTTCAGGCGCCCTGGAACAGAAGGTTAGTTTAGAGCGGAAGAGCAGAAAAGGAGAGGCCGCCTGGAGAAGGTCTCCTCTGAATAGACACAGAGATCAGTGGGAGATTTTCTGGGAAGGCATCAGGAGGAAGGTCAAGTATCGCGATCCCCTTTTTCTCAAATAAGATAGAGCTTACTGTCTCTGTTTAAGACAGGAAACGGCCAGTCCACTGTTCAGTTGGCTAGAGGATTAAGCAACTGGAGGCCGACCCCTTTTCTCTGGGAGTCTGGCAGCATCCAGCCCAACATTCCTCTGGAATTTTCTCAAACACATTGTCTCTCCTGTTTCGTTCTTTCATCACCATTGGCAAGGCATTAGGTGTTTAGACCATCATGGCTCTGTGCTTGTCAAACACAACAGTGAAAACCTGGAGCTGCCCGCCACTGCTGACAGCGAGGTGTCATGGGGCGTCTGGGTGTGCATCTCTTCCAGGCTCTAACCAGGCAGTCTCTCTCAGGTGGAGAGCAGAGCCAGGACTTCAGCCCTGCTGGGGGAGCCTGGAACCTCATGCTCAGAGGAGAGAAATGACAGCCCCTGCCCTTCCCAGCAAGGGTGGGGGTCGCAGTAGGGGCCTGGCGGGGAGTGTCAACTCCTGCTCTGGCCTGTCAGCCCCAAGGTGCTCATCTCACACAGGAATCCTCAGAGAAGAGCCCTTACTCACCCCACCCCCATCAGTTATGATGCAACCATCTCACAACTGTCAGAGGAAGTCGGCTAAGACACAAGATTTGGATCGGTTCAGTAACTTAACATCCATTGCACATTCTCTTTGAAATGAATTTATTTACCTTGACAGTTACAGAAAGAGAAGAAGAGAGAAAGAGAAAAATATCTTCCATCCACCCTGGTTCACTCCTGATAGTCACAATGGCCAGTGCTATGTCATGCTGAAGCCAGGAGCCTGGAATTCCACCTGGGTCTCCCATGTGCGTGCAAGGGCTCAAACACTTGGGTCATTCTCTGTTGCTTTCCCAGGCCATTAGCGGGGAGCTGGATTAGAAGTGGAGTAAGCAGGATGCAAACCAATGCCCATACGGGATGCTGGCACCACATGTAGTAGCTCTTCCCCCACTATGCTATAATGCCGGCCCGACAATTATATTTTAGATGGTAGATAGTAAGCAAAATTGCAGGTGAGGTTTATATGAATCATTAGGCATGGTTTCATTGTATGAAGTAATGCCTAGAACAATCTCTCTCTAACGCACACAGAGCAATCCTATACAGTCTCCTTGAGAAAAAACCCAGTGTCACTCTGATACCAAACCCAAACAAAGAAAATACAAAAATGAGAAACATGCAGACCAGTCCATGTTGTATATACTTACAACATAACCAGCAACTGCATTTTTCTCAAGATAAATGAAAACATAAGGATATTACAACAATATTCACTGCAGCCTTATTTCTTACTAAAACAAGTTGCTAAAAAAACTGGGGGTTGCATTTCTAAAACAACTAATATCATTTAATAGTTATTTTGGGTTCATTTCCTACTTAACCCGGGTTAAGGTATCCTCATTTACTCTCTCTCTCTGGATGTTTCTTGAGGAAAATGAGGGCGAAAACCCAAAACAGGGTAACATGCGATCAGAGAGAAAACAGAGAAAAAAGAGGTGAATGAGGCAGGAGAGGGGGAAAGACAAGGAGTCAACCTGCTCCCTGGGGCAGGTGCAGCTGTACTGCAAAGGACACAGAACCTGGCCCATCCAATGATGCTAGCTCACATGCTGCGCAAATGACACAGATATCATTTGTTGCTTCTTCATAACATTAAATTGTGCAAGGTTATGAATCATTTGTGTTTTTTAACCTGGGGAATAAAATATAATAGTTCAAAATTCAGAGCCTTTAATTTTGTAAGCTTCTTTAAAAAAAAAATTATTTCCACGTGGAAGAGCTACAGAAAGAGAGAGGGAGGGAGAGGGAGAGGGAGAGGGAGAGAGAGAGAGAGAGAGAGAGAGAGAGAGAATGAACCTTCCACGTGGCCACAATGCCAGATCTGGGCTGATCTGAAGCCGAGAGCCAGGAGCTTCTTCCAGCTATGCCATGTGGGTGCAGGGTCCCAAGACTGCTGCTTTCCCAGGCCATTAGCAGGGAGCTAATGCAACAGCTGGTGTCCTTTTGGGATGCTGGTGCTGCAAGTAAAGGATTAGCTCGATATGCCACCACAGCAGCCCCATACGTTTCAATTAAGTAAAAATGTTTATCATGTATTTCCAAGTTGTAAAAAGGTATTTTTGTAGAATATTCTTTTTTTTCAAAATATTTTATTTATGTATTTGAAAGGCAAAATGACAAAAAGGAGAGATGGAGAGAGATCGATGGGTTTTTCCAATTGCTGATTCACTCCCCTAAAGGCTGCAACAACCTGTCTAGACAGGGTGGAGCCAGGAGCCAGGACCTCTATCCTGGTTTCCTATGAGGGTGGACAATCTTCTGCTGCCTTTCCAGGTGGAGTAGCAGAAATCTAGATAGTATTAGAATTGGTACTCCATTAAGGGATTGTTGGCACTGCAAGTGGTGACTTAACCCACTGTGTTACACTGTTAGTCTTTGGATTTTTTTTTTTTTAAAGATCAATATTAATAAAATTTGAAAAATTGAGGCGCATGTTATTATTTACATTTCTACATTTTCTCTGCCATTACTAAGGATTAATTTTGGTAGAAGATATTACTTTTTTATGCTCTGAAATAATGCAATATGAAGGATAAAGACTGTAAATGATGCTTGAAAGTTAAGGTCCTTAGGGCCTGGTGGCATGGCCTAGCGGCTAAAGTCCTTACCCTGAACGCACCCAGATCCCATATGGACTCTGGTTCTAATCCCGGCAGCTCCACTTCCCATCCAGCTCCCTGCTGTGGCCTGGGAAAGCAGTTGAGGACAGCCCTGCACCTATGTGGGAGACCCAGAAGGAAGTTGCTGGCTCCTGGCTTTGGATCGGCGCAGCATCGGCCGTTGCAGTCACTTGGGGAGTGAATCATTGGACGGAAGATCTTCCTTTCTGTCTCTCTTCCTCTATGAATATCTGACTTTCCAATAAAAATAAATAAATCTTAAAAAAAAAAAGAAAATTAAGGTCCTTGGGCATGATGTGATGGCTCAATTGGCTGATCCTCCCCCATTCAAGTGCCAGGATTCCATTTGAATACCAGTTTGTGTCCTGGCTACTCCATTTCCCATCCAGAAATCTGCTTATGTCCCAGGAAAGCACTGGAGGATGGCCCAAAGCCTTGGGACCCTGTACCCACATGGGAGACCTGAAAGAAGCTCCTGGATCCTGGCTACAGATCCACTCAGTTATGGCCATTGTAGCCATTTGGGGTATGAACCAGTAAATGGAAGATCTTTGTCTCTCCTTTTGTCTGTAAATTTGCTTTTCCGAGGTTGTCAGGGGGATGCAGGGAAGGAAGGGTACTAGTGGGGCAAGTGGTCCACGTTACGTGGCAGACCCTGTGTCTGTCTGAAGTTATAGCTTCTCCTTGCTGACCCAGCTCTGCTGTTGCTGGTGTGTTTTGGGTGTTTCCTTCCCCACTTTTTGGAGCAACCCATGCAATTCCATTCCCGTCTGTGGGGGACTGTGTTGGTAGGGACCAGTGCTGTACCCGAGACTGGGGGAAGAAGGCATCTTTAGCTACTTTCCCAGGACACAAGTAGGGAGCTGAATTGGAAGCAGAGCAACCAGGACTCTAATTGGAGCCCATATAGGATGCTGGCACTATGGGCTGAGGTTTAGCCTACTATGTCATGGTGCTGGCCCCAGAAAATATGCTCTTTAATGGGAATAGGGTTGGAGGTCAAATCCCACCCAGCATATGTGAAGTTACAGACCCAGTTTTTTCAACTCCTCCCTCCTTTGCTCCCTGTTTCTTATTTTTCTATTTTTCCCCCATGAAAGTATTGTAAAACACCAAGAGAAATGAATACACTCATTGCTCAGAAACACGCTAATGGCAGTCTTTGTCCATCTTTGCTCCAACGTGTTCCTTTCAATTTAAAAAGAAAAAGCAGTAAAGATAAAGTTTAAGTTCTCTGTATCTCCCCATCTCCCTGAAGCTCGTTGAAGTCAGGAACCAAGGGCTTCTTTCAAGTCTCCCACGTGGGTACAGAAACCCAAACCCACCCTTGAGCCATCTTCCACTGCATTTCCCTGGTCACTAGCAGGGGGTTGGATTGGAAGTGGAGCAGCCAGGACATGAATGGGTGCCTCTATGGGATGCTGGCATCTCAGGTGGTTTTTATGCCACAACACTGTCTCCAGTATGAATTTTCATGAGTGACATATGCTCCTGGTTACACAGAAGAGTGTCCTTATTTTCAGAAGAGACCTTCTCTAAGGGATGAGTTACCTTCATAGAAATTTAAACAGCTCAGAAAAATTGGCCTATTATCTATCCTATCTGTGCATCTATCCATCCATGTAAATCTGTGTGTGTGTGTGTGTACTGAGAGAGAAAAAGAAAGCAAATATGAAATATGACAGAACCCTGAAAACTGGTGATTCTTCAGGAAATAATACACAGATACTAATCTTTCAAATTTCGTGTTGATACGAAAATGTTCAGGACAAAAGGAATGCCATGTGGGTGTGCTGCACAGTCTGACATTCATAAATGGAGATATTCCATTTTAGTGGCAAAGACAATTTCTATGTAAATTAACTCATTTGTCTCGATTCAGTTTAGGAAATTGGCTGAATTTAGTTAAACGCTCTTAGGAGGAATCTAGCGCAGCTACTAATTTGATTGAATTTTTCTGCTTTTCAATAGATTGAATTGGGGTTTTTACAGTTTTGTTACAATGTTGAGATTTTTCAGGGGCACAGAGCAGGCTTACAGATGATTTCTCTAAAGTGTCCCCTGTCAATTTCTATCAGACTCACAGCAGACAGTATAAATAAATCATCATAGTTTCCATGGCAGATATGTTCATCAATCATGCCTCTTTCCACAAAGCAGGTTGAGAAGC